TATTTTACTGTGTCGTATTTTTATCAAATAAGAATTGATTCTGATTTGCAATAGCATGCCGAATAGCAGAATATTATAGCATTTTTTTAGTTTGCATTTGAATTGCCATGTAATTTTTTTAAGACCTGGACGGACGTTTGCCTTTCCTCTCGAAACCCTTCATTATGTTCAATTTGATATTTTTTCGAGCACGTGTCCATAAACTGTGCCAAAAAGTCATCGAGAAGGGCCATCTGCGCGGTGTGCTCGACAGCTCCTGAACAAACAGAACGGCAACACGATACTTTGCCGAGTTTGCACGACTACAACTGCATAAGACGGCTTTTTGAATTCGCGCCGAATCAATGCCGAGCTCACATGGAACATCTGCATGAATGTTTCCAATTAAAGGTGCATTATTCCGAGGAGGGGTCCCGTTGGGAATTCAGTGTTGTCTTCGGCAAGGGGAATGGTTAATACCCTTCTGGATGAGTCACACACACACGCGGAGCCCGCCGCACTTTTACGGCACCCGTGCATATTTGTCTAAGTTTGCCCGTGATTCAAATTTCTTTGTTTTTGTCGCGCTGACCTTTTATGAGCGCTTGGGAATCGCGGGTAATTCGGCAAATAAAAACGTTTGAAAAGAAAAAAAACCAAAAATAGAAGAGTACGGGCTTATAATATTTTATGGCTCTTATTATTCGAATGACGACGCCGCCGATTCAAAAAAGAAATGATTGAGGCTCGCAAAAAATGAAAATAATCCCCCCGTATACTATTTTTGAAATGTTGCTCCAAAAATACTTGCAAATTCTTCCATCATTTAAAATGCACAATTTTCGATTCTTCGCCTTTTTCCCAATGAGCAGTTGTACTAAATTGTCGTAGTGTTCTGCTCAAAATTCATTTAACGATGAGTTTCCGGTCAGTTTAATTCGATTCGCCCACAGCACCGAGCCACCCCTCATTATTCCGTTGTCCAGCAAAGGATCAAGCAGCTTTAGAAGGCTTCAATTAAAATTCTTCCCGAGGCAGTTTCGACACCCCACTTGAGAATTTCGCGCGTGCTTATCGAACCCATAGCATATTGGTGTACTTCCGTTGGTGATTAGAGGGTGTTGGTGTGGGTGTCGGCGGCCGCAATGGCGGCGATTCGCCTTTTAAGTTAGGATTAGGTTCGTGCAATGCGAGGCGGAATATGACTTTGCGCGAATACATAATTGCCACAATTAAACTCGATGAAGGTTCGCCTACAAATTTTTATTTATATCCTTCATCATTAAAACTATTCAAGTGAAAAAAAAATCACTTTTCAAATATAATGACTATTTCAGTTGTAGAAAAAATGTTTAAAAAATATGATGTCGTACTAATGCATTGTTTTATCGTTTATTTCTGATTTTCTAGAAATGTGAAATTCAAGAATTTCAATTATATTTTGCAAAATAAATATTTCACGCATGATGGGATCATTAGGAAAAGAAGCAAAAAATCGTGCACAACCACCAAATCTACATATTATACTATACTATGTGTATGTATTTGTCGCGTTCTGTAAGCGTTCGTTAACTGAAAATACTAAAAGCGACGCTCATTAGTGAAGTCTTATGTTGTTTATCCGTTTGGCGAAAACCATTGTGATATAGCTGAGAAAACTCGATGTGAGGTCTACGAGAAGTCCAAACAATTACCAGCAATAGCAATGAATAGCAAATTACGAGCCATTTGTTCTAACACATCTTTGATATTGGCCCCAGTCAGTCATCTGGCCTAATTATGCGCCTATGGTTGCGCGCAATTAGACACTCTTTGTCTCGCATATTTTCGCTTGGTTTTCATTTTTTTTTCGCTGTTGTTGTTGTTGTTGTTGTTTCTTCTACTCTGCAGTTTTCAATAAGCTGTGATCAATTCGAACGAAATCGTCACGCCGCACTCGTTGTCGGGGATTGAAAAAAGTGACACATGGCGAAAAAGCAATACAATTGAGATGAGTATGCAAGATATATGAGCATCCGACGTCTCCACGCCTTAGATTACTGTATAGGTCATGTCTTGAAACATTGAATTAGGCTGGCAATTGACACCTGCGCGCGGTCGTCGACATGTCGCTCGCGCGATTTTATGCGATCTGCTGCTTCGAACCAATTCTTGAATGAATGTCGAATGCAAATTTTTTGCCTACGATTCAGCCACTGCCTTCAAAACATATTGTCAAAGCAAATAAAGAATTCATCAATTTTTTTTCGAAAATTTGGTAAATTTTATTATTATTTTAAAATTATTACGATAAAATTCAATCATTTCGAAAACTTGCACAATTCCAAACTGTCGATATCCAGAAGGGCCAATTGACTTCTGTTTATCGTATTTGACCTTATACGGCAACTTCTTATTCTTCATTCTGCGCATGAAGGTCCTCTTGTAGAGGAGGTTCATGGCAATCTGTTGCGGAGAATTATGGGCCCTATGCGAATACTTGACACGATCCTTAAGACCCTCGCGTACCAAAACATTCTCATTATTAAGATTGGCCTGTGATTTTTGTGTTCGTCGCCGTCGGTTTGGTTTTCGCGACGCTGGTCATTTTCTATACATGGAATGAAAGGGAGCTGTCGCCACTTGAGATTGAGTGAGCCAACAAAAGCAGGCCGTCGAAAAACATTTGTCATTTTCGTGTTTGCCGGCAAAAAAGGTGTCATACACCAGCCGGGAGCTCATTCATTTTTCCCGTGTCTTCTTCTATTGTGAAATTGACACCGGCGAGCAAATTGCCGAAATGTTTCACCCATTCATTGTCCTAATTGTCCACGGGTTCTTGTCATTCATCTACACGGAATCGTTTATTTTGTGCTCGTGAGAGCTGGACCAGCGGGAGAAGCTTTTCATTCATCTTCGTCTTCATTAAACATTCCTATTCTTTTTTCTTGGCAAAAAAATTTTTTGCTGTGTTCGGTCGGGAGCAATATTCTTTTGTTGAGAGCATTGGGCTACTTTTTATTAAAACTTACGGATTCTCATAAAATGTTAAAAAAAAAGTAATTTCCAAATATCGGCTTTTCACATCGATTGTTCAAAATAGAAGTTAAATATTAAAACTTGTTTTCAGACCCCATCAAAACAGAATTGACCTTGGGGTTTTTTTGGGGGAGTATTATGTAGTATTGAAACCGGTCTCGAACACACTAATTCTTGTTCGTGCTTTCCTCATTTATTCAGCTCACATGGAGTAAAGCTACTTATACAAATATTGGTCCCATTTAAAAATAAAAACAAAACCCAATTTCTAAAAATAATCACATTTCATGTTTTTTCTTTGTTAATTAGACGAACATGTCTCCTTCAAACCTTGTTTCGTTTTTCTTCGTTTTTGTTTACATCATTAGAATTTTTTAAAAATATTTATCTCATAACGAATGCGTTGCAATTTTCGCACAATAATAAATAATGGGTTTCGAAATTGATGAAAGAGGGAGACTGAGAGGGCTCTATTCCAATGTGTATGTGTGGTATTCTTCTCAAAAACATCACACAAAAGTTCATTCGATTCCACTTTTTTTAGGGTCTTGCGTGTTGAAATATATTTACCCTTGTCCGCCACTAGTACTACTATTCAAATACCTTGGCCGAAACTCATCAATCACCATCAATAAGCCTTGGTCATATTTGTTAGCTTAACCTAGTGTAAGGGGCTAACGGGGGGAAGGGGGTTGGCCAAAAAATGAGCGGTGCCAAAGAGACAATCACCGCTTGTTTGTATTGGTCCCTCTCCTCGTGCTCTCTACAGTATGCCCCGATACGCATTTTGTATGCATATCGGATTATAGGTAGGTGGCTTTGGCTGACCATTTCCTGTGTCACATTTGCAAGCCCCCACATATCCATATGCCGCCCTTTCCTTAGGTTTGCCTTAGGTTTTAAATTTCGCGCGGAAATTTGAATTCTAATTCGAAATTGGGTCGTAGGCAACATAAAAACTTGATTGAAGTAAAATTTTTTGAAAGCCTAATCTTGTGGATTTTAGAGGATCAAATCGCATTAAATTTTAAAACCATAGAGTCTGCGAATAAATAGCCAAGAAAAAACTGAATAAATTATTCCGCCATGCGCGTTTTTGCGCGCCCACAAATCCAATTACCTTCGACCGTCCTCGTCTTTCTTTTTTGGCCAATGCTTGATGTTTCGAAATTCTCGAAAACTGAAAATGCGGAATTGAGACGCACTCAACATGGAACGTCGGACCATTTCGAGGCAAAAGGTTCGAATTGCAACTAAAATTCAATTTCCTTTCTCGTTCCCAGCTACCGGCTGTGCCCATCTGTCCTTTCGAATTCTCGCCTTGCGCGCGCGCGCACCGAAGGCCACGCCCACACCCCCTATTCTGCGCATATCCAACCCTCCGCTCTCGCCATCTCGCCGCGAATGCACTTTTTTAGTAGTGCCGGGCTGGCCGGTCCGCAGCGCGCTTCTGCACACACGCATACGGGGGTCCTTTTTTTTTGCTACTCGTCGCCCATTTAAGATTTTCATCACGCGACGAATGTCGCCTTCGACAGCTTATTTCACGCCAATTTCACACCAACTCATTCTTTCTCATTCAAGTCTTCCATCTTCCAATTATGCACTTCTATGTGCTGCCGTTTTTTTTAACCTGCTCGCTCCTTCTTACTCATCGCTTCTCAAATTTATATGAAATTCGAGAGTCCACCGAACTCTCCATCGATTCCATTATATTTGATGAGCGTCCAGTAGTTTTTTCAGTTCCAAACTCGTCGCATGATCGAATTTCATCAGTTAGATTTTTGATTTTGCTATTTTATTTGCTTCTATCTCTTTTGGTGGCGCTTCGAAGAAAAACCAATTTTATGTTAATCCCGTCGTCTTCGTCGTCTTCTTCTTAATCGACGACGTTGGGCCTAGTGTTGTTGTTTTTTTTTCGAGCTCCGCTGCCCGTTTTTCGTCCCCCTGTGCAATAAAATGCCTACCAGTTGTAACCAAATTTCTTCCAGTATTTTAACACAATGTCCATGAGATTTGCCGCTGCCGTTTTGATTGCCGTTGGCTGCATTGGAATCACGATTGCAGACGAATTGTGAGTCGCCATTTTTTGGCACACCGAAATCATTGATTATTTTTTCAGCGATGGCGATGAGCCATGGGATGCATTTGCACGTGATAAGACGAAATTCTGTCGGGATATGACACAGTTCGCACCGAACGACATTTATTGTGAAGTGAGTTCCCAAAAAAAATAATTTTGCAAACCCGCACATTTCAGCTGTTCTCGAATTGCTGCAATCAGATGTATGATCCGTTAAACGGCGACAAGTGCCAAGTGAAACAACTCGAATGCGATTTGGAGCCGGTAGACATTTGAGAATAATTTTTGATTTTCATTTTTTGCAATTTTAGGGAGAGAGCAAACCGCGCGGAGTGTGCAAGTACAGAAATTGCACCGAATTGATTACTACCACGACCACAACAACGCCGCAACCAATTCTGGACGCCATTAACGGAGCCACACAAGGTTTGTCATATTTTTTCCCCGTTTTTTATGAATTGGGTGAATGTGTTATGCTTCGGCAAAATAATTTATGATTAATTGGAAACGAAAACTTTGTTTACTGCTAGCCAATTGTGGTTGCTATAAGCAATTTTATGGACACGTATATGTAGAAAATCTAAAAATAATACCTGCATGCTTCTGAGTAGCAAGTTTCCGCAATTTGTATAGAACGTGTATCAAACACTTGTCTGACTAATTTTATGGAAAAGTGGGCCGATTTTAAGACGTTGCCGGATTGTATCATTAATTATATGTATATATGTAGAATTGCAATCGGCTCAATATTTACGAGCTTTTCCGACGGGTGAGGCAGGTGCATACGCACGTCTTGATAATACCCAAAAAGGGAATGGTTTATGTATGTTGTTACCTCAACACAAGTATGGGAGGGGATACTCGGGCGGGTATTCGAATTTCACAAATGAATAGCTCTCGAAACCGCACACGAAGCGAAAGAAGCAGTCAATTGTCACGCAATTTCCGGCCGCTGGACCTCCGTCTAGAAATGTCGCATTAAAAATCCACTTGAGCTTCAAATAGCAATTCACCTCCCCCCTCCCCCTCCTTCTCCTCTGCCCCACAGGCCTATTTCTGAATTCTAATGATGCGTCGGAGTCCCCGGAGGGCGACTCCTTCAACCAGATGATTCTCCGGATATGACATTTTGATGGAGACACATTTAAGATGGTGCACGTCTCACACGACACCAATCATAGTTGGTCCGAAATTTTGAGCAACCCAAAAAGAAGGCAAGAAAAAAGTTGAACTGTGCATTCAAACTGCGCATACTAAAATATGTTTTTTTTTGGAAATAATTTTTTTTTGGCACGATTACATATTTTGAAAATAAAGGATTAGTGGGTCGATAGAAAATATTTATGCGTTGAACATATCCGAAACACTTTCCAACACATCCGCTGCCAATTAGTAACGCTTTGCCGCCTGATTAGCCATCTTTTACACCGGGCTCCTAATTGGGGCCGATCATCATAAGGGCAGGTGTGGATTAGGATTACGCTGTCCCGGCTGGGCCGTCGCACACCGGACAGGTGAACTAAACGCCAAAAAATCCGTATCTGAATGCATTCGAAATGTTGCTGTTTTCAGTCGTCTCTCTGCTCAGCTGCTTCTTGGTCACCGTCGCCGCATTATATTAACAGATTGGTAAGTCTTCGGGATTATTTTGTTTTCTGTCTTAGTTCGTATAAGACGAGACAAACATCAATTTAGTTAATTAAAATCATGAAATGCGAATATTTCAGAATAACAAAGCGTCAACCAATTCAATATAATTTCATCAGGGAATCTTCTTTCTCTATTAAGTTATCTATTTATAATCGTCCACAAACAATTATAATTGCTTCTTTTTTGTTACACATAAATTGCATTATTTCCCTCATCCCCCTCCCATTTTTTTCTTTCGTTGTGTTTTTCTTATATTTTACTCTCAAAAAATGCGTAAAACACAAAATTGTACGGTGATAAACTCGCTAATAGAGTTGTGACAATTTTCTTGTTTGTTTTCACTCACATTTCTCCTCAAAGTGTTTATTTTTTCTAACTTCTTTATTGTCTGATTTTGTTTTTATTTTCATTATTTTTACAGAATAAAAATATTAAATATTTATTAAGGATCGGCAAGAATTATTATTGCACTATTTGAAATTGACTGAGTGGCTTAGAAGATTTGAAAATAAATAAACATCAATTTACAATTGACGGTAGGTGTAGCATGAGATATCACCCTTAGTTTCTTGACAATACAGTTCTGTATTCGTGACATAGCTGAAGTCTCCGTTGGCGCAGATCACATCGAATCGGCCTCCAAATTGAGCTTCAGCTGCTAATTGAATCATTCTCTTCGAGCTGTTGAGTTGATCGTCAATATTCTGCAAACTTCGTGTTTTTAGAATTTCCGATATTGATTCTCTCTACCTCAATGACAACTTTTCTGAGATCATCAGAGTTGCAAAGTGGGTCGTCGGTGAGATGAAGCTCACTAATATCGATCTCCTTCTCGTTTGTCTCTGGAACCAATTCTTCGGTGTGATGGGCTGGTGTGGTTGTCGTCGCAATCTTTGTGGTGGTTGCGACCGCCGATGTTGGTTGATGTGTCTTCTTCTTCAAGGTGGTCTTTCCCTCGTCTTTTCTCTTCTGATCGACTGGAAGCTCCTCATCGATTTCTTCGACTTCGGCAACCTTGGCTGCAGCAGCAGCGGCCGCCTGAATTCACAATTGGGTGGCATGCTCAACAAAAAAAATGATTGATGATCAAAATAAATCGAAAATCATAGAAACCGTGCGAGTGGATCTGTGGCTTCATGCATCAACTTAACCATGCTAAGCGTAAGATCTGGCGAGTCTTGGAAATGTTAGAATTTTAATACCTGATAGTTGGTCTCAACATTGCCAACTGATGTTACTGGGACCTGCTGTTCCTCAAAAAAGGAATTTTTTATTGCTTTCATAATTTGGTTTCTTACTGCTTGTTGGAGAGATTGCGCGGCTTCGTAGTTGCTTCCTTGAGATGGAGCTACCTCAGCTGGAGCAACTTGTGCAGCTGGTCCTTGTTGGTAATCTCCTCCAGCGGCGACTGGTTGAGCGACTTGTTGATCTGGTTGAGCTTGATAGGATGGAGCTGGACCAGGTTGCTGGAACGACTGTTGTGGAGCAGCTTGGTTTCCTTGCTGAACTGGCTGGTATTGAGGTGGCTGTGATAGTGGAGCAGCCTGGTATCCTCCTCCAATAGCGGGCTGAGCATGGCCTCCACCGAAGGATGGAGCTGGAGGCACAAATCCGGAAACAATCGATCCTCCGGAACATGGAGCTGGTTGTGGTGGTGGAGCACAAGCTGGCTGTGGTTGACATCCGCATCCGCCGCCACTGCCGAAGAAGAAGGCACTTGTCGTGGCGACTGAGAAGAGAAGAAGTGTGACAGTCGAACCCCAATGCATACTGAAAGATACCGATGAATAAGGATGGATGGGATAGATGGAAGATCTCGCGACGATCAGAAAAAAAATGAAAACACTTGATAATCTTGTTTTTCGATCCAAATACGATTCCTGTATCCGAATGAAACTTTAATGCAATCTGCCAATCGGATTTTAATTAAAATTGCTGTCATAACAAATCAGGAAATTAACACATTGTGTGTGTTGACTGATTGAATTAGAAATGGATTTGAGGAGAAAGAAGATGAGGTGAAAACCCTCTCAAAACATTTTGAATATCTAATCAAGACAATTTGAAATATTCGAATATTGATATTTGAAAGTCATTATTTCATATATTTTAAACGTTGCCATTCTTTAATTTTTTCAAAAAATTACACATATTCATAAAATTGTAAAAATTTAATTAGCATTTTCTAAAATTCCTGAATAGTAAAAATTGATATTTTCCACATTTTTTATTGCATGAATTGGCAATGAGATTTCAGAAATTCCAACAACTTAGGAAGCTTTAAATTATGCTAAAAATAAAAATGAAAAACAAAATTGGTGGCATTGGATTACGTAAATAAGAATGAGGAGAAATGGGGTTCAGAAATAGTATAATAAATCCCAGGTAGTCCTCATCTATATATCCGGCATGGGCGGTTCGCGACTCGTCAAAAATTTCTCGTTATTCATACCGAAGCGCGTTATCAATCGCTTTTTGATAAAACTTGCTATTCATCGAGTCTCGCTCTCCGATTTTTCTTTGTCCGTTGGCTGTTTGCCCCTCCCACGTCCATTTCGCCATTTTTGTATCCACGAATTCATTCTCGATGAAGATGAAGACGATTTGATGATGATGACGATGACAAACAACGCAATAGGTGCGGCGCGGATGCGCGCGAGTTTTTTCGACGACGAAAAGTTGGTCATTTTCAACACGGCAGCAGATTCGGGAAATTTTTGCGAAAAACGGGTTTCGATTAGATCAAATATAATAAAAATTGCATTCGAATCGACAACATCATCTAATAATTAAAATCAATCACATTTGACATTTTCTCCAATTATGGATTCGGCGGCTTTCTTGAATTGCTCCCAGGTCTCTTGGCTACAATATTGGATCATCTCATCCTTAAGGCATGGTTGTTTGCCAAACACATTCTCACATGTCAATGGGTTATCAAGCGAGATGTCTGAAAATGCTTCAGGACAATTGCTATTTTTCATCTGAAAATGTGAAAATTTTCGAATTTTTAATAAATCAACTGATTACCGAATCAAAACAATCTCGGAAATCTTTTTGAATCAGCTTCACAAGTTTGCAGGCATTGATCTTTTTCTTCATTGAATCCCGCAAGTCGTGTTGACACGTTTCGCTACTTTCTTTGTAGCATTTCTAAAATAAAATTATCGGTCAATTTTAATTTTTATTGAAAAGATCCTTTGGTGTAAAGGCGCATAATTCGTTCTTCTCGATAATAAAATGTTAGTGAGAAACCATTAATATCGTTGGCAAACATTAGAATGAATGCGCAATATATTGCGCCAAATTTATAAACAAAGTGCTATTATAAAATAACCGTAATAAAAATAAAAAATAATCCTAATTTATCGTTTTTTTTTTGTTGCAAGAATTCAATTTGCAAGTTCTCGTAATATCGTAATATCATTGCGAACGCAGCAACTACACTTTTTCCCCAGAAAGAACAAGATTTAGCCACAATATCGGATCGATCATTAATCTTCATGAAACATTTTCTAATAAGAGCTCAAATATGAGATCTCGTATTTTATCCTACGGTACCGCCATTATTTGACACATTTCCATCATTTGGTGTTCCGGTTTCTTCTGTTTATCCTTCAACATCGTCAGTTTGAAAAGCACAGACATCATTTGTTCCTGAAAATATTCCAGAAATTCGAATTTTGCTCCAATTAACTACCTTATAACATCCGTAGTATGATTTATCGGCACATAATGTATCGTTGTGCTTTTCTAATGATGATACTTGTTTCAAAAATAAAACAAAAAATATTGCATTAATAAAAGACGCCATTGTTCGCAGCCGAACCCACACACACACATACACTGACAAATTTCACCGGATTAATATTATTTTGATCGGCTTTATTGAACAGATATTGACCGACAAAAATTATGAATTGGATCCGAATTACATTTACAATCAAATGATTAGGTCTAGATGTTTTATTCAAAAAAAAATTTCATAAATTGAATTCCTTTAGTTTAGAGACGATTGTTTCCAAAGCAAGCATGAATGTCTCATTCAAGTTCAGACGATGACGAACACTTTTTTTTCTGTTTTCGCGTGAGCGGTTAATTTCTTTTTTGGTGAGTTTGACATTCAATAACGAAAAATTTTATTTTACCAGGGCAATTACATAGGTTATTCAAATTTGGCAAATTCATCCGCTCTTGACAATATACGTAGATTTGGACTTTGCAAAAATCTAGAAATTATGAATTCGACTTAGCAAATAATCTATCTAAATACCAATTTGCGTCTTTTCCGCAATACATTCGGTCAATTGCGTAGCTTCGAAGTCCGAGACACCGCTCAGTGAAGATTTCTTCAATTACCTTTTTGTCTCTCTTAAAATTGTCTCATTTTTTAAAGTTTTTAGCTTGGCAATATTATTTTCAATTCACAGATGTGATCATTGGAAAATAAAAGGAGATACCTATTAAACATTAGCAGAATAATTTCCATATCTCCAACTTCATTTCCTTTCGCAACGCAGTGCCAAATATTATATGTTCTTTCATTAGTTTAAATATCTCTCGATATCTGCGAATTGCAATTTAGAATATTTCATGATTTCGTGAAGCGGTTTAATAAAAATGTGATACTATAGAATTTGAACAATCTGAACGTGGCCTTTAGTTTTGCTCTTCTTCTATCTGCATTGGAGTTTCACCCTTTTTTAAGTTAAAAAAAATCCGTATATGAAGTATTGTGGAAAAACGACGAATGTGAAAAACTGCAGCGATATCCTATGCATTGTGTGCGTACACTGAGTCGCACATCTTGATCTTAGCTACAGTAATCTCAACTGAAAAAATTATTTAATCAATTATTTTTTTAGTTTTTTCTGCTTTTTTTTGTGAATTTATGGTTTTATGTATATTGTTGTGTTGAAAAAGTGTAATACTAAATATTTTTGAATACTATTCAAAGTTAATTGTTTTATATAAAAATCAACCATCAATAATTAATTAAATCAATTTCAGTTGAGATTACTGTAGCTAAGATCGAGTTGTGCGACTCGGTGTACGCACACAATGCATAGGATATGGCTGAAGTTTTTCACGTTTGTCATTTTTCCACAATATCATAATTGAAAAGTAATGTTTTCCCGAATTTTCATGTTTTTACGTTCTTAGATTTTCTATAAACGTCAATGTCCATCGGAACTTCCGACGAAGAGAATTAAAGAAAATGCACTAATCGTGCAACGACAACTGCATATTGTATGCAGCCTAGGCAGTTATCAATCCACTAGTAATTTTCACGTCAACAGACTCTTCGGAAAAGTTTTTTTTCGCCGAATATGGGAGTTCCGAATCATTGGATTCACAGTGCTCTTCGATATTCGCTGGCGTGGTTTTCCGTATTCTTCAATTTACTACTGATTCTGGTTATCAAATTATCATCCAATTTGCATATTGGGAATTACAAATTTCTTCTGGCAATATTTGCGCTGTTCGACATGTCCTATTCAATCATTGATCTTCTCGTTCCATTTGGGATTATCAGCGTGAGAGTCGCAGTTGCAAATATTCTAATCGGAGGATTTTTCTTTGATGTCATTTTGACAGTCATCCGATTTGTTTGAATTCGAAATATTTTGCAAAATAAAACTCAAGGTGAATACGCTTTATCGTTTCGTTATGCTTCGCATCTAATTAATTTTGGTGTTTTAGCACTCAATTTCATTTACAGATATTTTTCCCTTTTTCGGTTAGAAATGCGTTTTGAAAATTTAGAAAAAATTTTAGCTTTTTCAGTTCTCCAGATTCTACAGTTTTTCTACGTCCGCAAGGAATTGCATTCGTTGTCTCATTTTTAATACTGGTTAAATGTTGCATTGCCGTGGTTTATTTAAAATTGATTTACAAAATGTACAAGATTCTCAACAGATTTTTCGATATCTTCTCTCCGCTGATCCTGAAACGTTCGATGAAATTCGTGAAATATTCCACGAAAAACTCAAAATTGATCCTGAAACAGTTCCATTCCTAATTGCAACCTTTACCGATGGAAAACACGTATTCCATGGAATAATGGGTCTTTCTTTAATAAGTTTCATAAGTTTTGGTTTCATGCAGTTATATTTAATTATTGGATCATTGGTATCTGGCATTTTGATATTTCATATACACAATATCAACTATTTAGATAATGAAAGAGCTTGGTCAAATTTCGAACATGAGCTCACAATGTCGCAAACTTCACCGACAGCTGCTAAAAGCTCTCTGTGCTCAAACAATTATCCCTTTACTATTTATTTGCTTACCATGCACTGTTATATGGTATATGCCACTTTTCAAAATTGATTACGGATTGTAATTTTTTCTGCAAAGAAATTTTAAACGAGTCTTAAATTTCAGTGAGAGCAGCAATACGGCCATTGGGATTGCGTCGGCATTTCCTGTCGTTGACCCAATAGTAATCTTATATTTGGTGCCAAGCTACCACAATTTGGTCAAACGAGCAATTCTCATGGTCATAAACCCAAAAGAAGTTCCGAAGAGTAACAGTGTGCACATTTTTACCTCCAGAGCGACTACATAAATTATGTATATTAACCGTTTATTACGAAATTCATCAATTATAAATATTATGCTTTCAACAAAATCTAAACCAATCAAATTGATGATTGTCATTGAAATCCTTGAGCAACTTCCTGAGAATTAATTGTTTCAATCGCCGGTAATTATTGACACGTCTCATCCTCATTTTCAGCATTTTCAGCAAAACAGCTGTGGCACCAAAATATGAACAATAAACACCCGATGATAGCATAATAAAATGAGTAAAATATAAACTGAAAATGGAGAATGATAAGAGCAAAACTAAACCGAATTCACTCACCTGGGTTCGAATATCCAAACTAAGAAAATGATTATCTACAATGAGAAGAGTCATAAGAGATTGTAAGGAAACTGCGAAAAATGTGTTGACACCGAATACGAGCCCATGGCTATTCGTATTCGACAATGCTTCCGCAACATTCGACCTTGAATTTTCAGATTTTAATTTTCTCAAATAATTGTCTTAAGCTCACGATGCTGCAGTTTTTAGTAGATCATATATTGCATTTACTAAAATATAGGAAGCATAAACAATTAAAATTTTAGTGGTTCGTGCTGAAATTTGTAGAAGAATTGCCACGATGATAGTGGAAATTGGCAAGACGGATTTAGCATATTTCTTCCAAGAAATGTCGAAATATTGAAAACTGAATGACAGAATTGCTCCATTTATCGAATTGATAAATTCGACTCCGCCATTGGCGACATTTGATGAATCAAATTGCATTTCGGACCATAATGATTGGGCGTAATTTTGTACCTAAACTAATCCGCTTATACAGTAATTTCAAACGGAAAATTAGAACTGCGAATAGTTGGCTCTTGTCTAGGGAAAGGTTTTTTAAACTATTAATTGAATTACAATACTTTTTTAAAGAATAATATAATGAATCACAATTTTGGTTCAGTTCATTTGATGTTTGATTTGATGAATTCATACCTGATTCATTCCACATGTAGCCAGAATCCACCAAATTGACCAGGTGATCAGGTTGACATTTTTCGAGCATATCTTAAGCTCTTCGAAATTCCTTCTCAAAAATTCAGCCAAATATGATTCAGTTTCTTTTGGCTCACTAAAATCAATATTTTATATTTATTTTACATTTGAGCGTTCGCACAATTCGCTCTCTTGTCCAATATTTGTCAACGATTCAACATCAGGTCGAATCCGCGGATTTTCAAATTGAAGACCAGGTAAGAACAATACAATAAGAAATGATAAAATCACTGCTATAAGAGTTATCTGAAATGTCGATGGTTTATTGTAATACAAAGTCTGAAACTCAAGCCTTGTTCAAAGTCATATAAGTTCCCCATTGCATCGAAATCATCAATTGCGAGAATCCGAACGCGAACAATTTGCCTACAAGGGTAGCTGTCCGAATATAAGACGTGGCTTTTGTGTAATGCTTCTTATCAACCACCGCGTAAATATACGCATAATATGCGATTTCTGAAGCCGAAGAAACTCCAAATGCGAACTGCATCAGCTGCATTTGCCATATTCTTTCACCGAATACCAACAGTATCCAAGTGAAGACCAAACCGGCAGCTTCTAGAATAATGATAGGTTTGTAGCGTAGAATATCAGTCAAAATGAACATTGGAACCTAATAGAATAATATTTTAAACGGTTTTTTTTTTCGAAAAATTGAAACTTACTAGAGCTGCAAGATAGGAATACGTCCAATATGGGTAGATTTGTGAGTAGACTTCCGGTTTTGTGAAATTTTTGAACTCGGAAACGAGAAACGGAGTGAGGAATGGGGTTGCAGGCCGAAATTCTTTGATTGTCCCGTACATGAAAAGAATTGCTGTTACAGTTTGCCACCTCATTCTGAAAAAAACTCGAATCTCTAAATGGTGCAATTTTTGTACGGTAGAGATCAAAATTCTTCAACTTTTGTTATTCCAAAAATATACGGTTATGATGAAGAAACGAACTTAATTTTTAAAAATTTAGGTTTTTGCTGAAACTTAAATTGTGGAACATTTTTCCTCAAAAATGCCAGAAGTCAAATTTTCTCTAAGAATTACATGTTTTTAATATAACAGTAGGCATTCTTTACTTCGCGTTTTAAACAGTTTTTTTTTCCAAAAAAAAATGTTTTGTGAAAAACCAAAGTGGTAAAAAAAGTGCGCCAGCTGTGATAAAGATTGACACATTTCGTGCTCTACGGAAATTTTTGAGATGAGCGACATGTTGACGAAATTCATTCAGGATGATTGTTCGTGCAAAAGAAACGACGAACGAAATTTGTATTGCGAATGTATTCGATATAAAATATGTGACAACTAGGAAAGTGTTTTTGGAAAAAAAAGATTTTCTGCTTTCGTTTTGAAAGAATTCTTATTTAGAATTCTCTCAGTGAAATCACAATTTCTTTTTTTTTCAATCTAGCAAAGATGTCTGGACAATATTGAATCCAATTTTTATCTTGAAAAGAAGGTCTTGCAAATTAAAAAAGGAAGGGACCGCTTTTTCAAGAAATAAGAAATTAAATAGCTTTAATAAAGTAGAAATTATTTTGTTTTTACTATCCGGCACGCACAATATATATTAATATTTCTTGCTTCGAAACCTCTTTTTCCTCTTTTCAATTCTATAGAAATACAGGAGTATTTGAATTACCTCAAATATGAAAAATTGTTTGAAAAGAAAATATTCTTTTGAATACCAACAACTTGATTGATTTTATAAATGTAAAAATTTCTAAATGAGCGGAAAAGTATAAATGAACAAGTTACGTGCTTCTTATTCTATATTAGAATCTTTTATTTAACAATTCGTCGAAAATAAAAATATGAGTTGTGTGTCTACAGTATTCTGAGCGATATTTTTCGCTTATTGGGTGTTTTTCTTTTTATCCGATGATGCCACTATTTTTTTACTGATTATATGTATTGAAAACACGATTAAATCATTTTCTTGACTAAATAAAAAACAAATTGGTCGTTTGCAAATGACCAATTTCCAGTTTTTTTTTTCAATTCCAATTGAACAACTTTTCAGTTATCGTTCTGCAATTATACACTCTGGAAAGTCGTGCAGAGTTTGCGCAGATTTTCAACAGACTAATTTAAGAAACAGCGTAAATTCTGTGCAGACTCTGTCGTGTCTCAGCCGAGTTTTTTAGTCTTTGTCCGGTTACTACGGTAAGCCGGGAATTTGCGGGTGCGCATATCCGTAAGTATTGACAAACTCTATTGAAAAATTTAACTGTATATATGTACTATAATTGAAAAAAGAGCATGCTGCGCCGATTTTTTTTAGTTTGATTCTTTCTGAATCTTGTTCGCTTGGTGGAAAATATTTTCGCTTAAAAAATCTCGTTTCGTTGTGCTTCTGACAATTGGACCACTACTTGTATTCGATTCCTTATTATCAATGAATTAGTTGATTAAAAAATCTCTTATATAATCAACCACCTTCATTGTCAGGTTTTTTTTTGCGTCATATTGGCTCCGAGGGCGTAATTTAAACTCGTTGCAAATAATTCATAACCGGAGATCTCAATTATTATTATTATTATTCCTTGGTCGAAATGATCTTGGGTAAAGGTAAAATTCGGCAAGAGAAAGCACAAAATAAGAAATGCGCTGAACCGATATTTGAAACAAAAGAATTATTCAGAAAGGGGGGGGGGGGGCAATGTGGCTTCAGTGATTTCTCACTTTCACTTTTCTGAGTTCAATTTTTCGATTGTTTCATGTTTGTTTGTCATTAGCCATTTTTTCCCTTCGAGATCTCGAGCCTCAATCGAACACATGTACTTTGCATTTGTTCCGCAGAAAAAAAGACAATTTACTTGAACAATATTCGTCGTTTCATTCAATTCCTGGACCTTTTTTTGCTCGAATACGTTTTATTTATGTATGACCTTATTGGGAATTTCCTTTTGTTTCACAAAATTTAATTATCTAAAAATGAAATGAAGATTTGCTAGCTGATATATATCGGAGAACCGATTGAGAAGCAAAATTATTTATTTTCAAACCTTTTTTATTCGGATGTTTTCAACATTACATTTTTTTTCAGAACTTTGTGGATTCTTCTCAAAATTGAAAAACTAAATTATTTTTTCCAGAACTCTCGTGGATGCTTCTCAAAAACGAAAATCAAAATTTTGAAATAAGAACAAATATTTTTGTTTTTTTCCTAACATAAAATGGATTTCCACGTGACAGACAACGAGTTTAAACATTTTCAACACCTTCGTATTTGATTAGGATTTCTGAAGAAGAAAGATCAGACTAATATTATTAGGGGTCTTACCAAATTATTGGAATAACTCTAGACATCCAATTCTTCGTGAATATATTAATTTTTCTTCACACCTGTTTTTATATTTTCTTAAGCATTTTGAACGTTTAATTGATGTATTTCGATTTGTAAGGATTACTGCGAATACAGAAGAATCAGATTTATCTTTTATTTGTTTTCAGAAATGCATGGCTAGCTTCGAAAAATAGCCCTGCTCGATATTTCATCTTATTCTTTCGAATCCAAAAACTATTTGCTTTTGCACATTCGAATCAAATACTCGCTAGTAAAGAAAATTTATGAAAAAGGGGCGGAGTTTAATGGAAAACATTTCAAGACATTTTCAGATTTCTTTTCATTTAAAGAGACGTTTTAGTGAAAATTAAGTGACTCAAAATTATTATCAAAGCCGATTAATTATTAAAAAAAAAAAACAATGTTTTCGAAAAAAAAGCATCTTGGAAAAATAATGACCGATTTCGCTTAATTTAGAAATGAAATACAATCTTATTATTGTTTGTTTAGATTTTCCCAAAATAAATCCGGATTTGCGCAGTAGATGATCCTTTGAAAACGAAAAAAAAAATAGTTTAGCAACAATTAGAGAAAAACTAGTTTCAAAACTAGATCATCAAATTTAGAATTTATTAGATTTTATGCTTATAAGTGAAAATGTATTATGAGCTATTTGGCCTCACAATGAACAGCTATGTACAGGGTGTCATTTAAGTTCCCGCACAAAAGTTTGACGCCATGAAGAGCTTGGCTGTCGCACTTTTCGTGCACCAATACAATTTATTTTTGTTAAATAAGGTGTATTTTACTTACTTTCCAAGTTTCACCTCATTCGGATGTGTTTCCGAAAAATGGCGAAGGCTAACATCCATCGCGCTTCCATTATCGAACTTCATAAGCAAAATGTGAGCCCGAGAGACATCATTCAACGGGTCGGTGTGCCTCGTAGAACGGTTTATGACACTATCAAACGATTCAAGGAGCTAAATACGACCAGTGACCGTCCCAGACAAGGAAGACTCGTCTCAGTAACCACTCCTCAGAAGATCAACGCCGTCAAATCGAGGATGAGGCGAAACCCCCACAGGAGCATGAGAAAGATGGCGTCAGACATGGGAATGAGCATCTTCGCTATGGAACAAATCGTCAAAACGAAGCTTGGACTGACCCCATATCGTGTCCAAAAAGCGGCAATTCTATCGGCCGTCAACAAGCAGAGACGCTTCGAAAAAGCAAAACGACTTCTTGCTCGCACGCGGTCTGGACAAGATCTCGTCACTGTCTTCTCCGACGAGAAGCTGTTCACTGTGGAGACGGCATTCAACTCACAAAACCATTGAGTACTTTCCCAGACATCCCAGCAAGCTTCTGAGAAAGGAAGAACAATTCATCCAGCCTCACATCCTGCCAGTGTGATGGTTTTCGGTGCCATCTGCTCAACCGGGAAGTGCCCCCTGGTTTTCGCGGATCAGGGGGTGAAAGTGAACAAAGAAGTCTACGTTCGGGACATTTTGGAGAAGCATGTGATGCCCTGGACCCAAACGCATTTCGGTGGGCAGAAATGGGTCTTTCAACAGGACGGAGCACCCGCCACCACTGCCAAAACTACTCAGGAGTGGTGCCAGACCCATTTTCCCGACTTCATCAAGTCATCCGAATGGCCTGATTGCTCCCCAGACCTGAACCCGCTTGACTTTTCCGTGATGGGGTCTTGCAGGAGAAGGTCAACGCAAAACCCCATTCAAGTATAGAGGCTCTGAAGAAGACATTACTGGCGGAATGGGACAATCTTTCCATCGAATACCTGCGTACCACAGTCACATCCTACCCGAAGCGTCTCCGTGAAGTCATAGCTGCGAAAAGAGGCCGAATCGAAAAGAGTTAATAGATAATTATTTGTTGTACTATAGATAAATAATATTTCGAGTCTCGTTTGATTTGGACTTTTAGTTTCAGAAATATACGTCTTCAAAGTTGTGCGGGAACTTAAATGACACCCTGTATATCTCTCAAACTATCGTAGCTCCGACCATTTTTAATATGATCTTAAAATATTCAGTTTTTTCGAATTTCCATTTTTTGTCCAAATGGGTAAAAAAACCAAATTGAAATAAAAATAGAAAGTGAGAAGAGTTGTGAAAACAACGAGATAATGTAATTCGGTTGGGATAATTCTGTACACAAACCAGCGTTATTTCTTGCCTCGGATTATTGCTTAACGAGAATGATACACACGCACAGACACATGTCCGTTTATGGATATTCCGGCCTCCTATTTTTGCCGCGAAATGTTTCATTTTGTGTTTAATTACATATTATTGCAAGGCATTTTTCTGACATCCGTATTTCCCATTTATTTTCGTTACCGAATTGCATTTTCTCGTAGTTTTTTTTTTGAATTATTCTCTTCCCAGACGATTGTTTAACGATGGCGATTTATGGAAATTGTCAGCCGCCACATTCAGATCTTGTGTCATCGTTTCGCGAATCAAATCTCAGATTCCCATGACCTCCCATTAATATAAAGGAATTCATAATGAGTGTATGACGTCTTCGAGACTTTGCAACCGCGAATATCAAAAACATCTCAAATTTGCGTGCACTCGTCTCACTGGATTCGTTTTTCTAATGGAGGGCTGCTGCTATTTGGTTTTTACGAGCTTTAGTCCAAAAAACCCAAAATGCCATAAAAAAAACCACAAATACGTATCAGAATCGACAAAGAATTCTTTGTGATGTATGAGAATTCTTGGGCAGATTTTCGGTCATTAGGCTTTATTATGATATCTTTTAATCAGTTTTCTATTACAAGCTTGTTTAAAAGAATGAAATCTAGGTACAAAAAACTTGATTTCACGAGACATCTTCTCCATTCAAAAAGATATTTAACTTCATTATTTTCAACCTTTTATGGCAGTATTATAATTATATTCAATGTCTATTTTAAACTCGTAATTCATTCTTCCACTCAAAACGAAACATTTGTGGATTATTGTTGAACTTTTCTTAGCCAGGCGAACGATTTGCGCAAAAAATACACCGGAAGCAGTTATTTTTCGACTTTTTTTTTAAAGGAAGTGGCTTATTATTGAACAGAATAGCAACAAATTCTTATATTGTCAGGAAAAAAGTGCTCTCGATTGATAGATCAGCAGGATTAAACGTGTCAAAAATGACTGAGCCATTGAGTGATGCCTCAAATATACAAATCCATTGGGATTTTAGAAATGTCTATATTATTTTTATAATTATTTTAATCTTTAATTAAAGCAGAAATTGATGGATTAAAATCATTTTGAAAATATTTTTATTCAATTGCTACACGATACCCGAATGAATATAAATATTTATTTTTTTTTCACTTTTTTGTTGTAGTTTTTCCTCAAAACATTATACTCCATAATTAGCATCATCGAAAAAAAAACAAACAAAACACGGTGGTAGTTATAATAATCGGTGGTTTTTTTTTCGCGGAGACACAACGACAAATTGTTTTTGAGCGGGCGTCGAATATTCAGAAACTAAATGCATCGTTTATTCACAGGTCCCGGCCTGAATAATTTTTGGTTCCTTTCGAGAAGACCAAAAAACAAACCCTCACAAATACATAATATGTATATAATCACCTTGGCATTTTCTTACTATTTTTGGGAATGTCGGCGCTTATTAAGTATACATGAAATTAATAGTGGCATGTCTCCTCACAATACCCCCCAATTGGTGTATTTTGCTTCTTCTTCTTCTTCTTATTCACCACCAGCTCAAAATCCTCGTTTATTCTTCAATATGAGTCCATCATACTACGGTGTTTGAATTATTCAACCGCGAGAATCTCGCTCAACTCTCTTTACCACGCTATTCAAATGTTTAGAAAAGTAAAGATTAATCTGAAAAGTGAAAATGAGAGTGCAAAGATTGTCATGAGGACAACTGTTCTTTTGCTCGCTGCCAAACGTTTTTTTTCTTAAATGTGCACCAATTGATGTATATCACCTCATTTAACATTATCATATATCATTTGAAATTTTTCAGAAAAAAGTTTTTTCTCCTTGCTCTTTCTTCTTTTTTTGATTTTTGTTTCGGAATCTGGCTCATTTCTCAGTGTCCTCATCAATTCGGCCAACATCCTTCATTTATAAAGTGTTCAGGGCTGTGTAATTTTGTTTCCTGATCAACGTACGTATGTCAAGATAAGTCAAGTCATGAGAATTTCGAAAATTCGTTCCCGAAGCTGACATTCAGCTACAATATAAACACAATTTTTGTTGTTTCTTACGTGAGAATATAAAAAAAGAATCCTAATCACCCATAATTCATTATATGCTATTCAGATTTTGTCAGATATCGCAAAAAATGAAAACCCGGTAAAAAACAATTTAACAACTCTAAAAACGTAGTCAGATTGCCCAAAAAAACTAGCTTTTGAGTTTTTTTTTCCAAAATCTAATTTTTGGTACGACGACGTTTAATTGTCGAATGCAACTTACGGTAATAAAAAAAATTAAAATTAAAAAAGGTTTTCATCTTTGAAACCATTTTTCTAATTTGAAATTTTGTTATTTCTTATCTTATATAGGAGTTTTTTTAATTTGAAATTTTTTTATTTCTTATCTTATATGTATATAGGAGGCTTTTAAAACGTTGTGAGACCATATTAAATGGGACATAGAGTAAAACCTAAATGAGTTGATCAGATTCAAATTTCCAATCAAATTTTTACTTTTGTATAACTTTTTTAAAATTTTAAAAGTCGAATCGGATTTTCATTGATGGGCGATCACATTTTTTTTTCAAGGAAACGAACCTGCTCTAATTGCGTGTTTTCCTCGAACAATAAAATGAATTCCAGAAAAATAGCGTCATATCATGATTTTCGAGAGAAAATGATTTTTGGCGACGAGTTCGTCCCCCGTGATTGTCGAATTTAAGACGATCCGAGCTCGATCGTCGCCCAGACCCCGGACGATCTCGTGAAAAATTTGCCGAGAATTTCGAGAAGAAAATGAAATTCATACATTTCCAATTTGTATAGTAAATGAATGAGAAAAACGATAAGATGAGGAGGAACTCATTCGTTTGCAAGATTTGCTACAAAATGCATCGGGGTCCTTTTCTGCAAAAAGCGCTTTTCCTAATCGAATTTTATTCATACTCGAATTGTGAGCAACTGGAGGAGGGTGCCCTTACTCGTATTCGTTCTTTTTTTGTCCCAAAAACATCGCCCCCGTCGTCACCGTTGTTTTATTCCATTTCTCGTCCAAACTCGAACCCGTTCAACCCGTTCGCACCTTCGTCCGAAGACACCGCTCTCCTTTGGTTCTTAATGATTCTCAAAATATTTGAGCTTCAAATCGAATACATTTTTAAAAATATTCAAAATTGTTAGCAAAAAGAAATCTTCAGAATTGTATAACGACTTAGTATCTATAAATACATATGCCATTTTATCGTATCTTTAAGGATTAGGAAGAATTTTTGAAAAAATCAGATACCTGAAAATGGTCTTATTAGTTTAAGCAACAGTTTGATATACATTGTATAATTTTGAAGATTTTTGTCTAGATTGTTTTTTATTCATTCCATTTTTTGCACATTTCCGAAAACGATTGCGGGGTCCATGCTTTGAAATACGAGGAGAGCAAATTCTAAAGTCAATTTCCGGTAAGCGACTCGTTTGTACATGCACATGAATTGAGCCAAAAAAAGAAAAAATGTGTTACATGATTTACTTAAAATCTTTTCCACTACTGCGTGGGTTAGAGCTCTTGCCAAACGCATCCAACACCTCTTTTTCAACGATTTCGTAGTGCTGAGTTCATTGTGAAAACTGGCGCAAATTGTATCTAATAAAAGTAATTCTTGCCGCTCTAATATTTTAATAATATTTTTTTTGTCGTCCACTAACCAATGTTCGCAGTTTCATCTCCCAACCAATAATTGTTGTTTCTGAATTTCAGATGAACACGAGCCACGAATCAAATACCGGATATCCGCCACCGCCACAAGTTGGCGCGCCGTTCGCCAAAACCGCAATACCATACTCGATCTTGTTCGTGGTGGGAACCCTCGGAAACACCGCCGTTCTCTCATATGTGTTCTTCATTACAAGGTGAACGTTGAACGAGAATAAAATGAAGCCAGTCGAACCAATTTATCACTGTCGCAAAGTTCATGCATTTCCAATCAAGGATCTCTCGAAATTAGACGGATGCATTCATTTCGAGAAATTAGGAAAAAACTAAATGAAAAGAACGTTTTTCGTTGGAAAAATGCATTGAGAAAAAAAAAAGAGGATTCGAAGCATTATTAAACAATTTGGTTTTTAGTGGCCCAATTTATAATTGCAATTGGTGTGTTTTTCAGCTTAGAATCAATCAGCCTAATGCTGTTTTTAAGCGATCTTTATTTTCTGTAATTAAGACAATTTCGAAAATGATTTTGTTTTCAATTCAATATTTTCAGATCCTTGAAATCATCGGTAACTGCACTTGGCAACACATTCATTTATATAGTTGCTCTTTGTGCAGTCGACCTCCTCGTGACCATCTCGATACCATTCTCGCTCTCCAACACAATCCTCAACAATTGGGTTTTTGGCGAACTTGGCTGCAAGGTGCATTGGGCTCTCGAGCTGTCAAATAAGGTATGAATATATGTAGGTTTCGATGAAGGGAGCAATTGACGAAATATTTGAAGCAATTCCAATTAATTTTTATTCATTTTTTATGGAACTCAAAAAATCGAATATTCATTGCAAACGTATTGGATGGTTGGTGAAAATGAATTCGACTACCTATAGAATTCTTTCGTGTTCGCATAAATTGCCCACAGCTCATAAATTTAACAACCTTCTCATTCGTTGAAAGACGACGACGTAAATGAAGAACAAAAACATGAGAATTGCCGAGAATTCCCCCGACGGGAATTCGTCGTTGTTTTATCCATTTTCGAGTGACGAATGAATGTTCGTTCTTATACTTGTCATCTAGAAGGGGCGAGCCAAGCAAATTTGATTAACACCGGCTTTTGTGATAGTCTCCTCCTTCTTTGCGTAAAATAAATTGTACATAAAAGAGGCTCAATGAAGGCGGAGGGAAGAGATTTAGAATTGCTTCTTAAAGGAAATTTTTGACCATAATGTTTTTTCTTCGTTTCTTAATTATTTAATTTCTACTAATAATTGATTCGAATGGTCACTTGGTAAAGGAATCTGAAGAAATGTTTCAGATGTGCTCGACATTCATTCTGACCGCTCTCGCGTTTGACAGATATATGGCAATTTGTCATCCTGAAAATAAGAGAGTAAGATTGATTTGGAAAATAATTCCGAATCCTCAGATTTCAGGTTCATGAAATGCGTCATACCCTATGCATTACGACAATCCTCGCCGGACTTTCGTTCTGTTTAATTTCGCCTGTTGTGTTTTCTGCCAAAGTCAAAACCCTTCCATATGGAGGGGTTTACATCAAAAACAATGTGAATCATATTCTTATTCCGTATTTTATTATCGTTCTTCTTTCAGCAAACTCACCACATTGTTCGATACATGTGTAATGATGGAATGTCACGAGAATGGAAGCTTTTGGTTTCGGCTTTCCTCATACTTTTGGCTTTTCTTGTCCCATGTTCACTATTAACTTATTTCTATGCAAAAATAGTGTTAAGACTTCGAAAGCAACGAAGGTATGGAACTGGACTCTAAACAGTTTTTTTTTCAAATAATAAAATATTAGATCCATGTTACAATCGAGAATTCCTCTCCGAAGGGTCACCATCTACACAATGGCTGCCACTTTTTTTTATCTGGTTTGCCAAGTTCCATTCTGGGTTCCTCAAATCTACAGGTAACCAAAAACTAATGTGGTAAAAAATTGAGGCCAATATTACAGCGTGTTTTGCATTATGTTCTCATTTCGTCCAAATTCTATGCTTCTCACATTTACGGTAAAAAATTGAGGACCATTGAGTGATAATATCCGCATTTAGTATTACTCTCACCTTCTTCCATTTATGTCGGCTGCATTCAATTGGATTTTTTATGCAAGACTCAATAGTCAGTTCAAGAAAGGACTGGTTCTTGTTACTGAAAGAATGATACGAAAAAGGACAAGGTTATTCAAAAAAATGTGAGAAAATTGAATAGATTGTGATATTTTCAGATCTCTTTATCAAAAAGAAGGGTTCAGCGAAGGAAACGGGATCGAACTAACAACAAGTAAATTGGAGGAAATGGGTCTCGTGTGCCCTAAATGCGATGTATTCATTAGCCGAAATCATTCCAAAAAAATAGAATCAACCATTTTCAGGCTCAGCTGACGGTCCGAAGCAACAGCATCATTAAGAAGAGTTGAATGATTCGTACATATTTTGATTGATCTCAATGCCTTGATGCATTCTGTTCGGGTTGTTCGCCATTTTATCATTCAATAATGTTAATGTGCCATGCATACAATTTATTGTGAAAACACAACCCGAAACAACAAGAAAACAGAGAAAAAAAAAACAATCAATTAATATAATAAATCGAGATCAATTCGAGGAATTCATATTTACAGATAAATTTTATTCGCGAGCTTTCGATTTTCGAATTAATCGTTTCATAGTGGATCGGAAGTTTTTATTGAGGCACATGTAGATCACCGGATTGAAACATGAATGAGCATATCCTGAACGTATAATTGTCAGAACGAAATAATTGAATGAACATGGATTACCAAGCCATGAAGTGAAAACAAACAATTGCAAATGAATCGAATTGTCGGTATTGATTTGGAATCCCATCAGAACACCTCGTACCACAGAAACGCAGAAGTACGGTATCCAGCATATAAGAAATGCCACTGAAAAAGTATGCATTGATTATTATGATATTTAAATAAAATATAAAATTGTGCTGACTTAGAATAGCAGCGACGACACGAGTAGCCCTTGATTCTCGCCGAATTGCCATCGATTCGCGTCGTATCCTTCTAATCGCTCTAGTCACTTGTGTTGCAATTCTCCGAAGTTTTCCGCGACTTATTGCCGATGACTTTTTTTGTGGTGAGCCTGATCGATCAACCTGGAATCATTGTTTAATTTTCTCATCATTTCTGATCAGCTTACAGTAATATCAACGCTAGCTTTTGCTCCGCGAACTTGTCCACGCTCGAAAACTGCCGCTCGAATAGTTGACCAAGCAGAAGAACGTCTGAAACATATTGAATATCTTGCTCGGTGGGCAAATCTGTCGCTCGATACCTCGAATCGCATTCAAACATTGATTCAGTGCCATCAGTCAAACTGCTCCCATAGCTATTCATCGAAATTCTTCTTAAAATCAATAATGTTCTCAATATGTAATATTTTGAATTCAGCGTACCTGTAAGTGTCACTGCTTCCACTGGCCGATGTATACGACGAATGGCTACTGTTTGAAGGAACGCTGCATAGAGATGGGCAGTCGAAGAGTCTCGGAACCTGCAGCAAAGCTCCACAGTTCGAGGGAATTTCTTTGGATTGCGGTGTTTGTGGTGGTGTATTCACTGACATCATTGCAGGGACCATTAGGAATGTCGGAGCTGGAATCGACGGCTGGTATCTTGGCTCGGATCGACTCAGACGTTTCGTGTAATGATGATGAATTGGAGGTCCCAATAACGGCTTTTGACTCGCATCCGTCGAGACCGAATCTTCCCGCGAATCAGTTTTCGTCAAAATCGTTTCCTTTTTCGGTAGAAGAGCGATGACCGTTTCAGCGATGCTTGATCCACTTGACAGTTTGTGAACACTCGGGCTAGTTGCAAGTTCAGTGTCGTCCTCATCTCCTTTCGGCGGCGGCGTTGGAGCTTCCTCATCATCAACAGTGCTCAGTACAGGATAATGATAATCCAGAGTCGACCTTCGTCTTCCCGCGCGAACTTCTTGATATGCTTTTTGAAAAGCAGTCATAATCGGAATTCCATTCGGATTTTCCTGAGTGCTCGATTTGCGTCGTTCGCTTATAATCCGTTTTCTTTCGTCGCTCAATTTGCGAACTTCTTCTTCGCTTTTTTTCCGCTGCACTTGTTCATCGCAATTCAACAATTCTTCTTCACGCATTCTAAACCATCACAATTATGATTATTTTCATTTCATTTTATTTGTTTCTTTTACTTATTGTGATGATGCTCATCTTTCATTTGATCAAAAGATGCCATATTGCATGAAACATCCATTGACGGAGGATCAGGAACTATCGAAACACGCTTCTTCGAAGCCAAAAGACGATCATGAGCTAAGGTTTCTGCACATATCGTAGGAGAACGCCATCTGAAATTGTTGCTTTAATTTGTCCGAGAAAAAAAATCACTAAAAGGAGGAATGCAGAATTTGCTCTAATGTGTTTGTAGTATGTTGTAGTTGAAGGACATTTCAATGCTTTATATTTAATTAAATTTCGACTAATTGCAAACATGGATATTTCAATTCTACAGGGTGTCATTTAAGTTCCCGCACAACTTTGAAGACGTATATTTCTGAAACTAAAAGTCCAAATCAAACGAGACTCAAAATATTATTTATCTATAGTACAACAAATAATTATCTATTAACTCTTTTCGATTCGGCCTCCTTTCGCAGCTATGACTTCACGGAGACGCTTCGGGTAGGATGTGACTGTGGTACGCAGGTATTCGATGGAAAGATTGTCCCACTCCGCCAGTAATGTCCTCTTCAGAGCCTCTACACTTGAGTGGGGTTTTGCGTTGACCTTCTCCTGCAAGACCCTATCACGGAAAAGTCAAGCGGTTTCAGATCTGTGGAGCAATCAGGCCATTCGGATGACTTGATGAAGTCGGGAAAATGGGTCTGGCACCACTCCTGAGTAGTTTTGGCAGTGTGGGCGGGTGCTCCGTCCCGCTGAAAGACCCATATCTGCCCACCGAAATGCGTTTGGGTCCAGGGCATCACATGCTTCTCCAAAATGTCCCGAACGTAGACTTCTTTGTTCATTTTCACTCCCTGATCCACGAAATCCTGGGGGCACATCCCGGTTGAGCAGATGGCACCGAAAACCATCACACTGGCAGGATGTGAGGCTCGATTAATTGTTTTTCCTTTCTCAGAAGCTTGCTGGGATGTCTGGGCAAGTACTCAATGGTTTTGTGAGTTGAATGCCGTCTCCACAGTGAACAGCTTCTCGTCGGAGAAGACAGTGACGAGATCTTGTCCAGACCGCGTGCGAGCAAGAAGTCGTTTTGCTTTTTCGAAGCGTCTCTGCTTGTTGACGGCCGATAGAATTGCCGCTTTTTGGACACGATATGGGGTCAGTACAAGCTTCGTTTTGACGATTTGTTCCAAAGCGAAGATGCTCATTCCCATGTCTGACGCTATCTTTCTCATGCTCCTGTGGGGGTTTCGGCTGATCCTCGATTTGACGGCGTTGATCTTCTGAGGAGTGGTTACTGAGACGAGTCTTCCTTGTCTGGGACGGACACTGGTCGTATTTAGCTACTTGAATCGTTTGATGGTGTCGCAAACCGTTCTACGAAGCACACCGACCCGTTGAATGATGTCTCTCGGGCTCACATTTTGCTTATGAAGTTCGATAATGGAAGCGCGATGGATGTTAGCCTTCGCCGTTTCTCGGAAGCACATCCGAATGAGGTGAAACTTGGAAAGTAAGTAAAATATACCTTGTTCAATAAAAATAAATTGTATTGGTGTACGAAAAGTGCGTTAGCGAAGCTCTACATGGCGTCAAACTTTTGTGCGGGAACTTAAATGACACCCTGTATTCATAATATTCTGTTGTAAACAAGACCCCTCGTGACGAGAAAATATTTGCTTCATCCAATTAGTTGCAATACATAGACTCGATAGTATTTCATCGAAAAGCCTACCTTTGTTGTGGTTTTGCAACGATGTGAATATCGGGTTGACTCGGCGAACGCTCTTTGCTGCCGCCACTCTGGCGACGAGTCGGACTCCCATTCTGCGAACCGCTCTGAGACATTCGTGAGCCCCTTCTTGATCGCACTTCTTCTATAATGACTCGTGGTAGCGAATGTCGACGCTCTCCGCTTCGATGATGCGATGACAACTGGCCGAACATGTACAATTGATGAGTTCGAAGCTTCTTGAATATCTTCAAGTACAAGTAGACGACAATGGCTCCAGGGAGGAAGAAGGAGAGGAACGACGACAACACAATGTATTGCGGGTTGCTGATCCAGCAAATTCCGTCAAACGACGCTTTCTGCTCCATGAATAATGTTGAACTCACAGCCAACGCCATCATCCAAATCATAACAATATATGGAACGGTTGACATCGAGACAGAATGCCGCTGATATTCCGTAGGAAACATTATTGCAAAATAGCGGTCCAAGCTAATCGCGACAAGATGAACAATACTAGCAGTTGTGGAGAAAACTCCAGAAACGAGATGAAATTGGCACCACATATAGCCAAGTGTCCAAACATCGTCGTGCATCTGTTAAAGAATATCAATTTAGATATTATGTACTCTGAATGTATACCTTATAGTATAAGGACAATGGCATTACTACGAGTCCAACAAGAAGGTCTGAAATCGCCAACGAGGCGATGAACTTGTTCGTGGTGACACTGCGCAGCTTTCGATCAACTCCTACGGCAAAAATCACCATTCCATTGCCAAAGACGACAAGAAGGATTAGCATGAACAGAAAAATGTGTAGTGCGCTCCATTGCAGTTGTAGCGACTGAATTCATGAGTGAGGTTAACCATATTTGAATAGTTTTGTTACCTGTTGAGTGTCATAAATACTGGCGTTCATCTCACCCATTTTATGCGATTCCCTTATTCATATTGCGATTTTTCGGAAATTCGCGCACAAACACGCACAGACTGCTTCTTAAAATTGCACATTAACTGAGTTGATTGATTGTTTGAAATAAAAGGCGTGGGTTGAAATTGAAGCGAAGAACAATGGAACATTAATGGGACAAAATGGAGCAATGATGTTGAGATAGTGACAGTGAATCGTTTGAAATGCGAATGCAATAAAAAGTGATGTGAAACAAAAATATGCATTGCACTTTAGCGACTCATTCGGAAAGCCATGAATCAGATTCGAGAAACAGTATTGCAGAATCCACTGATTTGCAGAATTCACAAGGATGCTGTAAAAGGAAAAAAACGGAAATACGCACTATACTCGAAATCTAAAAAAGGGTTTAAAAAGAGGATAGCATGTTTTAAATTTCTATTATTTTTTACAGAATAATTTGAATTGAAGGTTCAATTAGACAAATAATTAATCGGGGGAAAAATCTTCATACAAAAGAGAAAAATGCCAGCTTGCTAGGAAACCAACAAAACAAACTCAAATCTAAATTTTGCTTCTTAAAAAACTGAAAATTTTTATTCGAAAGGTTATTTTAAAACACCTTATTTTTTTTCATTAATTCTAAGTAAATTTAAGAATAGCATAGATACATTTAACTTTTGATCCCTACAGGGTGTCATTTAAGTTCCCGCACAAAAGTTTGACGCCATGTAGAGCTTCGCTAACGCACTTTTCGTACACCAATACAATTTATTTTTATTGAACAAGGTATATTTTACTTACTTTCCAAGTTTCACCTCATTCGGATGTGCTTCCGAGAAACGGCGAAGGCTAACATCCATCGCGCTTCCATTATCGAACTTCATAAGCAAAATGTGAGCCCGAGAGACATCATTCAACGGGTCGGTGTGCCTTGTAGAACGGTTTATGACACCATCAAACGATTCAAGGAGCTAAATACGACCAGTGACCGTCCCAGACAAGGAAGACTCGTCTCAGTAACCACTCCTCAGAAGATCAACGCCGTCAAATCGAGGATCAGCCGAAACCCCCACAGGAGCATGAGAAAGATAGCGTCAGACATGGGAATGAGCATCTTCGCTTTGGAACAAATCGTCAAAACGAAGCTTGTACTGACCCCATATCGTGTCCAAAAAGCGGCAATTCTATCGGCCGTCAACAAGCAGAGACGCTTCGAAAAAGCAAAACGACTTCTTGCTCGCACGCGGTCTGGACAAGATCTCGTCACTGTCTTCTCCGACGAGAAGCTGTTCACTGTGGAGACGGCATTCAACTCACAAAACCATTGAGTACTTGCCCAGACATCCCAGCAAGCTTCTGAGAAAGGAAAAACAATTAATCGAGCCTCACATCCTGCCAGTGTGATGGTTTTCGGTGCCATCTGCTCAACCGGGATGTGCCCCCAGGATTTCGTGGATCAGGGAGTGAAAATGAACAAAGAAGTCTACGTTCGGGACATTTTGGAGAAGCATGTGATGCCCTGGACCCAAACGCATTTCGGTGGGCAGATATGGGTCTTTCAGCGGGACGGAGCACCCGCCCACACTGCCAAAACTACTCAGGAGTGGTGCCAGACCCATTTTCCCGACTTCATCAAGTCATCCGAATGGCCTGATTGCTCCACAGATCTGAAACCGCTTGACTTTTCCGTGATAGGGTCTTGCAGGAGAAGGTCAACGCAAAACCCCACTCAAGTGTAGAGGCTCTGAAGAGGACATTACTGGCGGAGTGGGACAATCTTTCCATCGAATACCTGCGTACCACAGTCACATCCTACCCGAAGCGTCTCCGTGAAGTCATAGCTGCGAAAGGAGGCCGAATCGAAAAGAGTTAATAGATAATTATTTGTTGTACTATAGATAAATAATATTTTAAGTCTCGTTTGATTTGGACTTTTAGTTTCAGAAATATACGTCTTCAAAGTTGTGCGGGAACTTAAATGACACCCTGTATACTTTCTCGTGCGTATTTCAATAGAAGGCGCCTCCGAAAAAAAAGTATTTGGCCGGACCAATGAGTCAGTCAATGAAGAATGAAGTACGCTACCCCGCTAACCGAAACAAAAATGGACGACGTTGCCTGCTTCATATATTATATTGAACCGCTTTTCGTCAACTGAAGAAATGGAAAAAAAGATGTAAAAAAGTTTGAAAATGAAGCTGAATACTCCCAAGGGAGGAGTTATGAAATCGAATAAATCGAAAATGGAATAACCTGAAGAAATGTGTTGCTTTTTGTAATATAAGAATCATGAGCCCATTTTTTGGGTTTTTGTTTATTCAACGAACAAAATGTTCCTTTATTAGATTCGTTTAATGAGAGTGTACGAATCGCAATGTTATTCGTATTAAAGTTGTTGGTATGATATTACTTTGATGTTCCATTCAATTTCTGATGTCAGAATTCATCGAGATGAAACATTTCGAAATAACAACAACCGAAATTATGGTAGTTCAGGAGTAATTCTGAATTGCAAAATTGTATATTAAATATCAATCATAATATCCTACAAATTAGGTGTTAAAAAAAGAAAACTGATTAGAAACAGTAAATAAGAAGTATTTCGGTAAGATCAGTTCAAAAGAGAAATGAAAATGAAACGAGTGGAGAAGCTCGTTTGAAGAGAAATGAGTTTGAATGTTTTATAAAATGAATTGAAGGAGTATTTGCGGATCTATTAACTCGCCTTCACAAACTTTTTCTTTTTGAAAGAAGCATTCTGTTGAATGGGCGTCTTTCAATTCAAAATGCAGGTGGAAACGAAACGATTTTTATGAAACGCGACTGAGTTTCTTAAATGAATCTCTGAAAATCGATCACATTGTTTGCTCACCTATCGAGTGGCCCACTTATCAGTTTTCAATAAGTGCGTTCTAATATTTTGAATGCAACAAATCCCCGTCAAGTTACGTCAAAAAATGAATAGGTTCAGCACGAATGCGCTTGAAACGGAAAACGACCTGATTTTTGCAGAAAACCGAGGAAAATGTCCGTGCGCAACAAACAGAAAACTAATGAAATTCGCCATAAAACGAAAGAGTAAGTTTCTGCGAGCAACTCTACGCAAAAAAAGTAATTAGTGGTTCGCAGCTATTTGGGATTCGTCTCGCTGGGTTTGAATGCCGAATATCCGTCAGCGCATAACTATTATAAAACAACTTTTCATCTTGTCCAAATATTCCATCTTGTCTGTCTGTTTTTTTTTCTTCGAACATTCAAACATCATCATTTCGAACCTATTCACATTTCCAGAGTTATTCGGGGAAAAAAGTGTGTGAGAATGAATTCTCAACTTACGCGCATGTCTCGATCGATTTCAACCTACGCTTCTACATTAATAATTAAAGACAGAGCTTTTCAATTTTAGCAATGTACGAGATTGGAAAATATAGCAAAATCACATTAAAACCGCTAGTACATTATGTTTTATTGCTTTTAAGTCGGAGAAAAAATGAAACGAGATTCTAGAAATGGGCATGGAAATCGTTGAAGATTGTTATTAGTCATTCGGATACAATTAAGCAAATATTTTATATTCATTTTTTAATAGGAATTGGATTTTTTGTTTTAATTTAAGCGAAAATAATCATTTCAAAGACATTCAATGAGAATAGATTCTAAATTGAACCAGCTCTATCGCTAATTGTTTTCGAACAGAGAAAATGGGTTGATTGGATCAGTGGAATTTTTTGTAGTGTTAGTGCAAATTAAAAAAAAAGAGAATTAAAATCTTGAAATAAAGAAATGTAGTTTCTAGGTTTGTTTTTCATATTTTTGAATTTTATTTGATTTATTTTTAAATTTTTGTGTTACTCATACATTTCATGATGAAAAAAAATTGTAGAAACAAACAGGTGAATTTAATTATCTAATAATTATTAACAAGAATTCAAATACCGATGATCAACTTTGCTATGCATTGAAAACTGATCGGCTCAAATATTTAAGCTTCTCCTTTAATTTTAAAACAAATTTATAAGCTTCTAAATCTGATGATTGTGAGAATGAAAAATCAGAAATAATAATAATATAATTGGGATTTCAATGAGAAACTCGGGCAAAACTGCGAAATTCCTCTAATTTGATGAGCTTTTCCTTCTCGAATTTTCCTTAAATTGACATGTACTTTTTTGACCAACAACAACAACAAATATTTAATTAAAAAATTCGAGAACGGGTTCAAGAATTAAAACGAATTTAAATAAAAAGATTTCTCAAAAAAAGTACCAAAGCCGAAGTGAAGAGAAATGAACTTAAAGAGGTGTGAATAGATCATAATGAAGACCAAAACCAAATGCTTTATTTTCATTCGTCGAAGAAAGTGTGAGAAGAACTAGCAAAATCGCCTCACAAATGGATTTTCAAAAAACAAAAACGACTAATGAGTTTTATCCTTCTGCTTTTCTGTTCGGCACACACACACACACACACGTATGAAGAAGGAAAATAAAAATTGTTAGGTGACGATATTCGATTAGAATTAGACTGACATCTATTTATTCAAAGTGCTATTAAAAACGTGATGTCCTTGAAATCCATGTGCTTACGTGTTGGCAAAACAAAAATTGACGAGACCCTCTCGAATTTCGCCTTCCTGACAATTATATTTACGTGTATTTTTGTGCATTTAAATATAAATACTTATGTATATACATAGATACACTAAAATGAATGAAGACCTATTTTTGGGTCAGGCGAATCGGGGGATCAGATGGAATCTATTGATCATGAGATATATTCCATTATTGAATATAATTAAAAAAAAAGGATTGCATAAATTGATTTGAATTTTTTAATCGCCTCACTCAAAAATGTCCGGCAAACTTCGAAACTTTTCCTTTGCGAGAACC